GTATCAAAACTTTTTTAACAAGCTAAAGATCTAATAAAATGTTTTTCCTACAATTTCGTGTCATTTCAATAGATCAGCACCAAGTAAAATTTATTTAAAAATTTATTTATTATATAATTCCTTTTTTCTTTTTTTCTTTTTTTCTTTTTTTTTTCCTTTTTTTTTTTGGGGGGGAAAGGGTCACGAATTCTTTAACACCCCCCCCCGCCCGTGTCACGGTGCACCTAAAAAAATCAAAACATACATCAAATTTTCATAATTAAACTAAGATTTTATTTTATTCTTTAACATTTTCCAATAACGGATTAAGATGTAGTATTATTAGAAAACTTGAGTTTCATGGTACCTATAACACCCGAGGCAAGTTCAAACTCATATTAATGTTTTTAAAACTTTTTAAATAAAGATTTTATCAAAATTAGAAAATTTTAGATTTAAAGAAAAAAAAATAGTTATGTGACAAATTTGTTTACCCCCCCCCCTCACCCTGTCACAAATTGTCACAAATTCTCGACCCCCTCCCCCTGTCACAAATTGTCACAAATTCTCGACCTCCCTCCCTTTGTCACAAAGTGTTACAAATTCTCGACCCATCCCCCTCCCCGGGCGTGACCTAATTTGCGAGTGACCCCTTAAGTTTGACTCACAGACCAGTCTTTGATTTTTCGGCTACATATCTGAACTATAACCTGTTCAGCTATTACAATGGGGTGTTGGAGTAAGGGGGAATAAGCCGCGCCTCGTGTTTCAGTGAGATCGTGGTTACGGTGCACTAGTTAATTGTAATAATGGGGTAATATCCTAATCGCACAGGGAATACTCTACTTAATCAAAGTAGAGTGAAAAATATATACGTCTTTTTTCATAGCTTATTGCAATTGTTGCTATTCAAAAGATTTTCGCAATTTAAAAAAATCATACGAACGAACATTCTCCTCTTTGGGGCGTCCATTAATTACGTCAACAAAATGGGGAGAGGGCATGGGCGCCCGCAGGTAGTGGCAAGCTGGGGCACTTTCCCCCCCCCCCCCGGGATGGATTGGATAAAAAAATTTTGGACAAAAAAAGACCAAAAAATTATAAAAGAAAGAAGAAAAAAAA